CTTTTGTGTTAATGTGGTTCATAATTATTCTAACAAGCCCCAAGCTCTTGAAAAAGATCCCTTGGAGGCGGTATCTTGTGTTGCATCCCTTTCAGTTGAGATAGAAAAATGGCAGAAGGAAGTCGATGCAATAGAAAGAGCCCTCTACACTTTTGGTCTTGGTTTTGTGGAAGAAAAGGTGGAATCAATCAAGCAAGTTGTGCGATTTGAGCCTACGGTAAGTGTTCCGCCAGATCGAGTTGCAAGTGTTGAATGCAATGACAATTTGAAGCAACCCTCGATCAAAGAAGGATCTTTGGTGCGTAACATTGAAGATCCCCTTACCCAAGTCAAGGAGGATCCACCAGATAAGGTGAATTGGCGTCCCACAGGGCATGTCAGGAAGCCGCGTCGTAGCCAAAACACCGCTAGACCGGGTGAGAAACCGCCCGATCAAGCGTTAGGCCAAGGGTATTTGTAATCCCCTCTTCATCCTCTACATTTCTGTATAAAAATTTTCGAATTTCTTTCAAATTAATTTCATACCCATTTCTACCATGGCTTCAAAGAGGGCTCGGTCTATTTTTGGTAGGAGCTCTAGTTCGAGGGAGGAATACGATCCGAATTTGCAACTCCCGTACTGGCCGACGATCCGCATCACTAGTCAGGAGCAAAAGGAGCGACTAGAACACCTAGTCGGGCGTGAGGTAATTCCTTCACGGTGGTTACACCGCCCTACTTTAGAAGCGTTTGGTTTGTATGATTTTGTAAAACGATTTTTAAATGACATTGGCATGAGAAAATTCGTTGATATGCATTATCCTACTTACCGAGAATTAACTTGTGAATTCTTGTCTTCTTTAAAAGTTGTAAATAGTAGAAATGGGCCGAATTTAATTTTTAGGTTGAACAATAGGAATATTAGTTTAACTTATGTAGAATTTTGTAAATTATTTGAATTAAATTCTGAGTTACCTCACCAATGGCATGCGGACTATAAAATGGGTGACATTTATTTTGCTCTGACTGGTTTGCCTAATCCCGACCCCCAACATGCTAGTACCAAACCTATTCATCACCCTGTCCCAAAAATCTGGCAAAGATTTGCGGGTTTGTGTTTTATAGGTAGGAACGAGCCCCATAACGCCCAAACTAACGAACTAGCTGTCATAGGACACTATGTGTATGGGTTTTGGAAATTGAACATAGGTAGGTATATTATTCACCATCTGAGCAGACATGCCACGGCCAGTACCACATCTTGCACCCCCATCCGTATAGGAGGCCTTATCACTCGAATAGCAGTGAAAAAGGCCGGTTTTGTAGAGGATGGACCCCACCAACTGACCAACTGTAGACCAGATACCTATATGACTACTAGGTATTTTGAGGAGTTGGGGTGGGTACGACCAGATAGCGAGCAGACACCCTTTTGGTGTATTAGGACTGGGAGCGAGCAACCTTTGCCCATCTTTCCCCTACCTAGTCCTGACTTGACCGCCTTTCCCCCAGGGCAATCATCCTACATGTATGACCTTTTAGTTTCCAACGCTAGGGGACAAGCACCACCACCACCAGTTCCACCACCTCAGCCCCAGCCTCAGCCCGAGGTGGCGTTTTCTCCACCTCATATGTCTCACTCCATCCCTCATGTTGACTCTGACCTAGTTTGGGACCTTCAGAGTATAGGTCACGCCTTAGGACGTATCGAGAATTCTCATACTGACCTTAGGAGGATGGTAGGCTCTATAGACCAGAGGTTAGGGTACCTGGAGAGGAACCAGGGTAGAACTCTCTACCCTATGTACGATGATTATGCTCGTCGGGGCAACATCCCCGACGATGCTATTTACCCTGACTGGTTTCAGCCTCCACCCCAGGGATACGATAGGGATCCCACTGCCCATGGTATTTACACTGACTATTCTGCCTTCCACGGGTACGACCAGGACATTCCTTTCGGGGGACCGGCGGAGGGGACTTTTCAGGCTGATTATGTTGGTGGTAGCTCTTCTAGTGCAGGTGGAAGTGGAGGTGCAGGATTCGGCTCGATGGATGAGGATGATCAGGACTAGCTATGCTGGGCTAGTTCCCGAGCCAATGAGGACATTGTCTGATTCTGGCTTGGGGGAGATTTTGGATTTGGTATCTTTCTTTTTCTCTTTTATTTTATTTTTGGTGTGTTTTCTTAGGTTAAATTTATTGCTTTCTAGGTTAGTTTTATTGCTTTCTTATATATGAAAAATACAAAAAAATTGAAAAATAAAAAAAATCTAAAAATACGTTCTAATGAATTGTAAATTATGCTTCCCTGTGCCCCATACTTGAGAAAATTGTTTTGATTCTTGGTATATGATTATAAGCATTGTGGATTAGTTGATCATGATTTGATGTTTGATTGCCTTGAGACCTTTACATGCGTCAATTTTGTCCAACTACTTTTGAATATAGTGCTTAACTAGTTGATTTGGTTAGGAATGTGTGTTAGTTCCTGGTATGTCAATGAATTTGAGTATTGGTTTTCAACTATAATTAATGTTTATATGATTCATTATTATGCACATTGAGGAGGACGAAGGCGTTCATTCTTTTAGGTAGCCTCCAGATAATTGTAAATACATTTGTTCCTTTCTTGCTACCCATGTTGTTGCCTTGACTTTTTGTTGTTTATTAGCCACATTACAAGCCTATTTTGCCCCATTGGTTACTAGTTCCAAGCTTGGCTTGGGGGAGCTATTAGTGAGGGAGGTGAGGGAGTTTGTAGTGTGCTTATTATTTGCAAAATTTGGGTGGGATTTGAGAAGTTGTTTGTTCTTGATCATGTTTATTTTTGATGATTTTGAAAGTTATATTTTCTAGAAAAAATAAAGCATGATGTTATGAAAAAAAAAAAGTTCAAGAAAAAAAAAAGTGAAAAAAAAAGTGAACTTCAAAAGAAAAAAAAAGGCAAAAAGAAAGAAAAATTGTTCAATGTTTAAATGTTCTAGTTGGAGGTTGATCAAAAGGAAAAAAAATAGAGTTTCAATAAAAAAATTCAAGTTTGAAAATAAAGTTTGTTTTAATTCACTCTATTCCATATTATCATATTTTGTGAGTGAATATGTAAGTGTTGGGATTGTGTTGTATATATGATTATTTGGTGAACTTTTGTGGAGTTGAGTTGTGATTGGAGATGATTTGGTCATCACTTGTTGTGACCTTGGGTTTTATTAGGATATGGCTCCCTTAAGCATGGCTTTACTCTCACATTTTCCTAAATTTATCCTACCCTTTACCCTAGCCTTACATTACAAGCTTTAAAGACCTTCTGACCTTTGTGCATAGAGTTATGTGAATGTGAAAGTGTTGTTTATCAATGCAAGTTATGATTTGACATATTTCGAGTTGACTAGGAGGTTGAGCGTTCATTGTTTTATACACACGAGAGTGTAAGTTGGGAGGGCATTGTTCAAATAAAGGGGTTGGTTGGAGAGCGAACGAGTACATCTTTTACTCGCCACATAAATGAGAGTTGAGTGTGTGAGCACTAGTCTTGAATTCTATATGCTCTTGTAGTTTGCTCTATTTGACAATTGTTAGGGAGGAAAGGTAATTGGATGGATTTGATTGGTTAATTTTGAAGCATGTTTATTTGATTTACCCTGAATCGTTTGTGCTTGATTTTTACTTTTTGGGGTGAATCATATTTATTGATTCATTGATGAGATCTTTGCTTAGGGACAAGCAAAGTTTTGGCTTATCACACATTCATAACCAAATCAACTAGTCAAGCACTATATTCACAAATAGTTGGCAAAATTGACGCATGTTTAGGAATCCAAACAATTAAACTTCAAATCATGATCAACAAATTCACAAAGCTCATTATCATTTAACAAGAATCAAAACAATATTTTCTAAGTATGGGACACAGGGAAGCATGATTTACAATTCATTGGAACGTATTTTTGAATTTTTTTTTTTATTTTTCAAATTTTTTTGTATTTTTTTCATAAAGGAAAGCAATAAAAACTACACTAGGAAAGCAATAAAGAGAGAAAAGAGAAAGAGAGTTACCATATATACAAGAAATCTCCCCCCAAGCCAAATCAAGCAATGCCCTCATTGACTTGGGAAGGTAGCTAGGAGAAGCTACTCCTTATCATCATCCATCCCCTCGTACCCTCCTTTATAGCTCGAGCCGGCACCACCCTGGCTCGTTCCAGCACCACCATAACCCGAACCACCTGCAAAGTAGTTAGGGTTCACATTTCCCCCCAGACCCCCAAGAGGATCATCACCCCCATATCCATGGACTGAAGAGTAGTCCACATAAGTACCAAAAGCTCCGGGGTGGAATACCCACCTTGAGGGTATTGGAACCAATCGGAAACTAAGGCCTCGGGGGGAATAGCCCCTCGGCGTGCTTAGTCATCGTACATCGGGTATAAACTCCTCCCGAGGTTCCTCTCTATATGACCCACCCGACTATCCAAAGTGCCTAACCTAGAATCTAGGTTTTGCACCATGCCCTTTACTCTCCCTTGCCCCATCTCTATACGGTCTAGTTGGCTCCGATAAGCCGAAAAGTCATAAGGGGCATTGGGGTCGATGTTACAATCAACAGAGGAGGTGGGCATGCTATAGGTAAAGGGTTGGGGTGGTGGTTGGGGGTAGTGTGGTGAATGGTCTTGGGATGATTGGTGGGGTTGTGGTGAAAGGTGAGGTTCTTGAACCTCGCCTTGACCGTTTATCTCGAAAGTGTCACTAGGTGAAAAAACAAAATTGGCACCGCCCTAAGGCCACCGGTTCTTAAGAACCGGTGGGGAAAAAAAGTGGGAAAAAACGAGGGAAGGGAAATGCCACCAGTTCAAAGAGAACCGGTGGGTAAAATACTAAACCCACCGGTTCAAACCGGTGGCTTTACTATTTTTTTTTTTAAAAAACCGCCCCATAAATACCCAAATAAACCCTACTCTCCTCGGCCGCTCTACTTCTCTTCTCTCCTCCTTCTCTTTCTCTCCCCTTCTCTCTCTTCTCTGTTCGTCTCCTTCTTTCTCTTTCGATCTCATCTCCTTCTTTCTCCTGTTCTTCTCCTTCGTTCTCATCTCCTTCTCTCTCTTTTTCTCTTTTGTTCTTCCCCGATTCTCGTCCAATTAATTGAATACCACCTTCGATCTCATCCCCTTCTTGTTCGATCTACATCAACATCAACAGCAATTTCTGGGTATTTTTCGAGGTTAGGGTTTAATTCGATTTTGTACTTTTTAGGGTTTAATATAATTGATTTTCGAAATTGCTTTGAGCAATTGATTATTCTGGGTTAGATAGGTTTTAATCGATTTTCTTGGATTTTAGGTGATTTCTGGGTTGTTTTATTTTTAAATTGCTTTCGATCTCATCTCCTATTAAAGATGATGAAGATTTTGAAGGTATATTTATTAACTTTGCCTTTTTTGAATTTTATTTGAAATGTTCTGAATAATATTCTGAATTAAGCTGTTGTTTCTGTACATTTTTTTGTATGAAATTTGGTTAGTATGTCTATTTAAAGATATAATCTTTATGCTTCTTGCATTTATTTGAAGGTAGAAATCTTATATTGTTTGATTTATTGTGAATAATATTCTGAATTACGCTTGTTTTTGGTCTTATGTTGTTTGATTTATTGTGAAATTGGCTTCATTGTCATTGGATTGAACATGCATATCAAAGTGGAGTATTGGCAGAAACTATCTTAGATCATTAATTTGATAGAGTGAACAATTGAAGCTTTAATGATTAATTGAATAGTTTCAGTTTCTGTCATATCTGATTTGGATATTGAAATTTGATTGTGGTGGATATTGGAGCAGATTCTCTACCGAAGCTGTAGGAAGTTGAAGTAATATTAGAATATTGGCAGATTGAGAATGTAATTGGCAGATTGAGGTTGAGCATGTCAATAGAATGCTATATTGATTCTTTTTAGTTTCATGCATCCATATGCTTCTTGACTCAAATTATTGCTTGCTTGAATGTGTTGCACTTATCTCCTTGTGCAGTTTGGAGACTACTTTGAGAAATTATTCATGCTTGACCTCTAGAGACATTATTCATGCTTGACCTCTAGAGACAGCATCATGGTGGCATATAACAACAAGAAGTATTACATTAACATTACTGAAACAAAGCCCTCTCATGCAATCAGTATAATCGAGACAGACTGTGAGGTGGACTTTGCCCCTCCTCTTAATTATAAAGAGCCTGAAAGACCTGCAATATCTGCTCCTGGCAAGGCACATCTCAAGGTTTGCACACTAACTTTACTCTCTTTTCCTTAGTTAGGTATCAAATAGTTCTTCATGTTTTGTCCACTAATTATAAATGCATAAATAAATTGAACTATTAGCTAATGGTAGGAGCTACTTGATGAGAATCATGAAACTGCAGTAATTCCATTTAAGCAATTATTTTGTATTATTTGGTTAACATATTGTGAATGAGCTTGGTCCCTTTAAAATTTTCCTAATAACAATGATTTTGTTGTTAATCTATACAAGTAGCTTAAAACAATATCAAATCTCTTTGCTGTTGTCTTCTTGATTTTCTTTGAGACACTTATAGCTTAAGCTAATTTGGTTAACATATGGTGAATATTGGTTTGTTTCTTTTCTTTATGTTAGGATTATTAATTCTATTTTTAAAGAAATAGGAATTAAGGTTACAAATACCCCTATTGTTTTGATTGATGATGTTGCATATTTGTCAATTGGGCTTAGCTTGCTGTATTTCTTTGCTTTGGTGTTAATTCTATGATTGTTGGGTTATTAATTCTATGATTGTGTTGAAGTGGGATTGATTTTCTTTGGTGTAATTTGAGTAGAAAGGAACTAATTTCAAAGTGGATTTTAAAATAGGTTTTGATTATATTGTTTGGGGGTGGTAATTTGAGTAGAAAGGGAGCTAGTACCACATTGAATTGTTATGCTTGGTGTAATTTGGCTCTCTTGAAATTGAATTGGTTATGCTTTGGTATAATTTGAGTTGAGTAAATTCCAATATCACATTCAATTTGGGCTATCATCTTATTGTTATTTACATGTGTTAATGATGCATTTTGAAATTATGTTAGCTCTGTCGATTTTTCTATTAAGTTTTGTAGGAATTATTGTAATTTGAGATAAGATACTAATTCTTGCTACTTCAGTTTTTGGTAAAAAAAAAATAAATAAAAATTATTTTGCTGAATTCGCTATACGTAAATCATTGGGTGAATTTGCTGACTTAGCTAATGTCGCCGTGCCGAGGCTACCGTTGCAGCTGGCCTGGAAAGGTTGCAGCTACTGCTGCCCTACCGAGCCTGCTGCTGCAGCTGGCCTGGCAATATTGCAGCTACTGCAGCCCTGCTGTGGTTGTTGCTGCTGCTGCTGGCCTCGAAAGGTTGCAGCTACTGCTGCCCTGCCAAGGCTGCTGTTGCAGCATCCCTAGCAAGGCTGCAACTGCTACTACTCTGCCAAGGCTACTTGTTATGCTTGATTTTAATCTATAACCTTTGAGGAAAGCAAAGTAATGGATGGAGGAGGGGCATGTGGGTTATAGGAGAGGCTGAATAAAAAATTAGGTTGGTCCTTTCTCCGTGTTAAGAATCTTTTAGAATATGAAAATGTATTTTGCCAAGGCTTTTCTTCTCGGTCTTCCTCACTGCATGTATATATGGTTGAATTTAAGGTAGTATTGCTCTGCTTGTTGTCTTTGATTAATACACACTTCGAGATCTCTTATCTTTGTTTGTTGATGCAGGTGGCTGTCGGAAGATGTTATCTATACGCAAGGCTGCTGCTGCCTCGCCAAGGCTCGCTGCTACAGTTGCTGCCTCGCCAGGTTTTACATTGGTGATTTGGTGTGACTTGTAATTAACAGTGACTTGTATTTTATTTTTTTTGGGACCAAAATTGTAATATTACAACCTTTTTTTAATGAAAATATGTAAGTTTATATAGATGTTAGTGTTTATATATCAATTTAATTCAAAAAAAAATGCAAAAAAAAAAAAAGAAATTTTGGCCACTATTGGCACCGGTTTTGAACAGGAACAGGTGCCAAAAACCCCTTTAAAAAAAAGCGGGAATGGGTTTTTGCCACCGGTTTGAACCGGTGGCTTTTCATCTGACTATCGCCACCCCCCAAATGCCCACCGGTTCAAAACCGGTGGCATAGTGGGGTTTTGAACCGGTGGCCAAATGCTATTTTTGCCTAGTGTGTAAGAAGGCTTCCCCTTCTCAAATTTGGTCAAGGCGGGGTTGGGTAGGGTAAAGGATTGGTCTCTCCTACCCGATTTCCGGTGGACTATCCACCAAGTCTCACCGCCCATGGGTTGCACCCAGTTTATGCTCCCTAAGTAAGCTAGGTCCATGAAGGTTGAGCCCACTACTTTCCTATGCCCATTTGGGTTCCATCCTAGGTGTTTAATAGCAATATAGGTCACCAACCCCCAAAATAGATAGGCGCCTGATCCGTGCCATTTATGGCACCTTTAGGCTATGTTTTCTTTATATTTCTATGCTCCTTTGTAGTCGTTTATGTCATGTTTTTTGATAATAATGCTCGATTCACGTGTTTTTGTGTTAGTTTAGAGAAATGCATGCTTTTAATGGCTTTCTTATCATTTTATTCATTTCTCGGCTATTTCTCTTGCTTCTCCGTTTCTTTATCTTGTTTTGTAGGTACATCACGGGCTATATGCATGGGAATTGAAAATAGCACCCACTAGGATCAACAAGCACTTTTCGGAATTGAATTTGATTTTGAAACAAAGGAAAACGAAGGATTGCAAAGTATCAAATAGGACCTTTGTACATTGTTTTAGTCATATCTCAAGTTCTACAGATTGGATTAGGGCGATTCGAAGTTGGGTTGGAAACTAGACTTGAAGAGCTTTCCAATGATAGGTCGCATGCCTTCATAAAATTCTTATATCGGAAGTTACAGCCTTCTGAAGTTGGCCCTAGAAAACTGCCGTATTTGGGCAGTAAGCACCCGCGGTTGTCCCGAGGGCTCCCCGAGGGCGCGGGCCTTGGCCCCGCGGGCGCGGCTATCGGGGTGTCCGTTCCCCTCCGCGGGCGCGGCCGATTTCTCCGCGGGCGCGGGTTTCTGGGTCTTTTACAATTTTAAGCTTCTTTTCTCCTTTTGTTTATATAGTTTTTGGTTTCCCTTATTCTTCATTCATATAATTCTTTAGTTTTAGAATAATTTTCTCTCTTTTAGGTTGAGAGCTTCTCTCTCTAGATTAGGCTAGATTAGGAGTAGTTTTAGAGAGAGAAAGTGAGGAATTTCAATGGTGATTGAGATATTGAAGATGCAAGTGTGACAATTGTGTTGGAGATCTTCTAAATTATCAATGAGAATTTCTAAACTCTATCTCATTCAATTGCTTTGTTTAATTTGATGTTTGTTTGGTTTAATTTTGATATTTGATGTTTGATTAGAGTAATTGTTCTTGATATTTTGTTGATTCTTGTTCTCTATAGTTGATAGTTGATTTGATGATGTTGTTTGAGTAGTTGTTGGCTAGGAATTGGGTGAAACTTGTATGATTGATTAATTGTGATTAATTTTGGAATTGTGTTGATTAATTGTTGAGATTAAAGTGATTAATTAAGGTTTGCATGTGTGTAATTCAATTAGGCCTTGAGAATTATGCTAGATTGCATTGTAATTGCTAATGACATGAACAATTGATTTAGGAATTGCAATTATCAATTGGTTTTGATTGTGATTCTCTTAGTTCGTTATTCATAGTGAACCCTAGCTTAACAATTAGGAGATAGCTCTTTGATTCCTATTGATTGCTCTTATCATTTAGTCCTCACAACCTTTGATTGGCATGCTCTTCCCAAGTTGTTGCAATTGACATGATTACTTGTTGATCCCCATTCCTAGTGTTTTATTTCCTTGGTTACTTGTTTTGCTAGTTGTTAGTATTCTCTCTTACCTTCGTCTTCGACCTAACTTAGGCACATAATTGAAAGTGCTTGAACATTACCGTTCCTTTGGGTTCGACCCTTGACTTGCCTCTATACTCGTATTTAGGTTTGTTAAGTGTTTATAAATTTAGTTTGACCGAGGGAAGATTAGATAACGGCCTAGTTTTCCCCTCGTCAAAACTAGACCTACCCGTTTCGGCCGCATTGGCCGCCCTTTGAAAGTGGTTGGCAATCCTATGAGGTATGTTTAATTTCTCAGCATTAGGGATCATATAGGATGTCAATAGTTCTAGTTCATCCCTCCTCACGTTTGCCGGTTCATGCCTCCTAAAAATTGTGAGGCCGGCAAACCTTTGCCAAAACTTTGGGACGGGATGTTGAATCCACATCCCTTTGGCGTGTTGGAGGTTAACCAAACCCTCCCTGGTGAGTTTCTTGTAGACCACGACAATGTGGTCTTGGGAGGGTTCGATAGGTTTGTCCGATTTTAGCTCAAACAACTTCCCAGATTCTTCTAGAGTTAATCGCACATCGTTGTTTAGTAATCGGAATTGTACATGAGTGATCAAAGCATTCATTTTAATAACAATAAAACTAGAAATAAATTCTAATGTCAAGTAATCATAAGTATCATGATGCATTTGGAAGAAACCACTCATGCCTATACCCTTAAATAATTTCTCTACATATTTATCAAGACCTAATCTAGATAATGTAGGATGATGAACAAAACGGGTAGAGATTACCTGCCTCTCGATGAGATTGAGCATCCTTGCCCGTTGTTCCGTCGAGGCGATAACAACCTCCTCCCATCCCGGTATTTGAAGCTCCGGGTTGACCATTGGTTGTTGTTGCCTCGAACTTTTGCCCCTTTGTTGTCTAGAATGTTTGGAAGCCATTTGTAGATAGAAATTTGGGTATTGAAGCTTTCTCTCTCTAAGGGTTTTAAGAAATTATGAGAGAAAGTGGGAGAAAGTGGGTGGAAAATGTAGAGGAAGGTGTGAGGATTAAGAATATGTAAAAATTTTAAGGTTTTGATGGATGAATTTGAGAAGATCTTGGAAAGAATGTGAGGTTGAAGGTTTGAAAATGGAGGTTTTAGAGAGAGAAAGTGTGAATAAAGAAGAAGAAGTTTCAAAGAAAAGGAAAAGAAAAGAAAGGGGGGGAAGGAGGAATTAATCCTCCGGATTTTAGGCGCGCCCGATCGGGCAAGCCTCGCCCGATCGGGCGAATATAGGTGCTTCTGGAATGTGAAGTGCGCGCCCAATCGGGCGCGAACACGAACCTCAAAATCGCCAGATTGCTCGCCCGATATTTCTTTTCGTGGCACTTAATTTCTCCAAATTTCCGCCCAATCGGCGAAGTTTCCCTTTATTTTCTTCCTCACTTGCGCGCCCGATCGGGCGATTATATGCTCCGATAAAATCCATATTTCGCGCCCGATCGAGACTCCTTGCCCGATCGGGCGAAATTATGCTCAATTCTGACCCTTAGGTGCGCGCCCGATAGGGCGAGCCTCGCTCGATCGGGCCCGTACCCAATCCTGGAACTTCACTTTTCTTCGCCTTTTTCTCTTGAAATCTCGGTACTTTGTGATCTAAAATGTACAAAACACTCATGAAAGGTAAAATTTCACTCTCCTCACCTCTCTAAAAAAATAAAAATAACGAAAAAAAATTAGTCTAGAAAGCAAGAAATACGGGTTGCCTCCCGCAAAGCGCTGGTTTATCTAGGTCCCGCACGACCTTCTTACCAAATTGAAGTTCAAAGTGAATCGGAACCGCTTAGGTGAAGTAATTCAATTTCACCAATCGTAGCCCCCTCATGATATAGCTTGAGTCTTTGGCCATTAACCTTGAACTCGTTACCATGTTCATCGAAAACCTCCACATAACCGAATTTATAGGCCCTTTTTACAATAAAAAGACCCGACCACCTTGACCTCAACTTTCCTGGGAATAGTTTAAGTCAAGAGTTGAACAACAACACTTTATCACCCTCTTTGAATTCTCTCGGAAGGATCATCTTGTCGTGCCACCTCTTTGTCCTCTATTTGTAGACACGAGCACTATCATAGGTCGTCAACCTAAACTCATCAAATTGATTAAGTTGAAGTAACCTCTTTTCTCCCGCTAGTTTGGCATCCAAATTGAGCTCCTTAATAGCCCAATATGCCTTATATTCTAATTCGACCGGGAGATGGCATGCTTTACTGTACACGAGTCTATATGGAGTAGTACCTATAGGGGTCTTGAATGCAGTTTTGTACGCCCAAAGGGTGTCATCCAATTTATCACTCCAATCTTTCCTTGACTTTGCTACCACCTTCTCTAGAATGGCCTTGATGTCCCGGTTAGAAACTTCAACTTGGCCACTAGTTTGGGGGTGGTAGGCTAAACCTGTCCTATGGTAGACATCATACTTTTTAAGGAGGGTGTCTAACTTCCGCTCATGAAAGTGAGATCCTCCGTCACTGATTATCGCTCTAGGCACGCCAAATCTTGGAAAGACGGTCTTCTTGAAAAGTCTATGGACCACCTTGGCATCATTAGTAGGAGTAGCGATGGCCTCAACCCACTTGGATACATAGCCGACGACGACAAGTATATAGAGGTTCCCTTTTGAAGAAAGGAACGGTCCCGTGTAATTAACACCCCAAACATCAAAAATTTCAACTTCTAGAATTCCGGTTTGAGGCATCTCATGCCGCTGCGAGATGTTGCCAGTCCTCTGGCAAGTCACAAGCCTGCACAAAAGTGTTAGCATCCTTAAACATTGTAGTCCAATAAAAACCCGACTCATTAATCTTGGCCACCGTTTTAGTGGGGCCATGATGTCCTCCATATGGTGAGGTGTGGCAACTAGTAAGCACACCGTGGACTTCCCATTCAGGAACACACCTGCGAAATAATCCATCTGCACACTCACGAAACAAAAAAGGATCATCCCAAAAATAATGCTCAACATCAGAAAGGAATTTCTTTTTTTATTGG